ACTGTAGTAAAATACATTATTTTGCTTTGCAATCTGCTTGGAACTTTCTGGTTATTTTGAAGACTCTCCCATGTAGAACAGTTTATTATGAGGTGCTGTGTTTGTTTAAGACAAGATCCTGCTACGTGGTTCAGATTGACTTTGAACTCACTTGTGTAGCCTGGGTTGCTAGGATTCTCCTGTCTCAGCTTCTCGAGTGCTGGCATTCTAGGCATCTGCCATCACTTCCGGCTTGAGTTTGAGCAGGTTCCAGAAGCCTCTAGATTCTGGGTGGGAAGGGGAGGGAGAAAGAGACAAACAGAGAACAGTGTTTGACCGCTGCCAGAGATCAGTGAATCCTCCTTGTGAATTTCTGGTTCGAGACCATGGCTGTTCAGCAAATGAACTATAAGGCCAGAAGTGAAACCATCATCGGGTAACTTGTGTCTCCTGGTGCTGCCGTGACCTTCAAGGCACAAAGGAATTTGGATATTTTAGGAGATTAAAAAAACACCAAACAGAAGCTGGGGGCAGTGGCCTATGCCTCTAAGTTTTAGAGGTTGAACCAGAAGGATCTCAAGTTTAAGCCTGGCATGTGCAACATAGCCCAGGAGACTGTCTCAAAATAAAAAAATAACAAAACGGCTGCAGATGTGTACTGTAGCGTGAGGGACCTGAGATCAATCCTCGGTAATGGAAACAAACACCCAGTAACAACATCAAAAAACCAAACCAGTCAAAAACCAGGTGCGAGTGCGACGGTGTCTCCCACTCCCAGCCTGCCTGTCTCAGGGGAGCATTCCCAGACGCAGTTCTCAGAAGAAAGGCTCAGGTGATCCATGCCTGCGATCCCAGCTACTTGGAAGGCTGAGGCAGGAGGTTTCCAAGTTCGAGGTCAGTCTGGGTAACTTAGACCACTTTTTATTATTTTGAAAAGAGAAGGAAATGCAGGTTATTGGGAAGGCCCTGGGTTCAACCCCCAGGACTGCAAAGAGGAGGAGGAGCAGGAGGAGGAGCAGGAGGAGAAGCAGGAGGAGGAGGAGGAGGAGGAGGAGGAGGTGACCCAGGCAAGTGCCTACTGAGGAGATGGCTTGTGAGCAGGAGACATAGGAACAGGAGGGGCGATTCCTATCCTCTGTTTCCATAAACGGGCTGCAGCCTGAAGCTTGGGACCCTCCTGTCACAGCCTCCCACACTGGGCAGCCTCAGTTCCCAGGCCATTGCACGTGGGGCCTGCGGGGGCGGGGGCGACACTGTGTCCTGAGCCCGTGCTGCTGCAGGGGCTGAGGCTGCCGGCGGGCACCACACAGCCGCAGCCCAGGCCCTATCGATTTCTCCCGGCGGTTGTGCAAGCAGCCCCTGCGCACTGTGAATTATGTAGTCGCTCCTCAGTGATCTGGGGCAGGTGTGAGGGAATCTTCCTTTTTTTGTTTTTTAAATGAAAAAAACAATGATGCAGGGTTTCAAAACAAAATAGTAGGAGATTAACAGTGGTTGATATATTTCATATTGTTATCTTAAAAGTCGTTCAGATAAGATATAGGCATGCAAAAATGATCAGACAATGAAAATACACACTGCTCTTTTTGGTGAACTAACAGAGATTAGTAGTATAGATCTTTATCTTGTATATGAAATATATACACAGACATATAATCTTTTCCCTTCTTTCTTTTCTCCTTTCCCCTATCCCAGTTATTCTTTCCTTTTGAACACTTTCTTTCCCTTTCCCTTTCACAGTATCTTTTGTACATGTTGGATCTTATTTATTTTCCATTTTTTACAGTAGGGAGGCAATATGATTTGCACATGCAGATCTGATTTATTTAACTTATAAATATGGTCTCAAATTGCATCCATTTACCTATAAAAGCCTCTAGTCTATCCTCCATTATGGCTGAGTAGTACTCCATTGTAAATAAACACATATCATTGTTATCCACTCCTTGGTTGATGGGCATTTGGGTTGTTTCCAGGGTCTGGCTATTACAGATTGTGCTGCTGTTAACACGGGTGCACATAGATTGCTGTAGTGTGATGTTTTCAGTTCTTCTGGGAAGATACCCAGAAGGGGAATAGCTCGGTCAAATGGGACCTCCAACCCTTGAGTTTTGGGGACTCTCCTCACTGATTTCCACTGGTTGCACCAGTCTGCACTCCCACCCACAGTGGAGAAGGGTTCCTTTTTCCCCATAGCCCCTTCAGCATTTGTTTTTGGTTGAGTTCTTGAACCTGGCCATTCTTTCTGGGTTGAGGTGATAACTCAGCATTGTTTTAATTTGCATCTCTTGAATGACCAGTGCCCTTGAACGTTTCTTCGTGTATTTATTTGCCATTTGTAATTCTTCATCTGAGAACTGTGTATTCATCTCAGCTGCCCAGTTTTGGACTGGGTCTTTGAATGGGGGTAGCTGATTTTTCAGTTCTTTCCGGGGAATCTTAAGAGGCTCCTTGAGGGGCGTTGGTTGGTTGGTCACCGTGAGATATCTCAATTCTCTTTCCTTTTCTGTCCCCTTCTCCTGCCTCACCTCTGCAGCTCTGAGTCCCCAGCTCGTAGGCTGCTGGACTTGGAGACCCAGAGACGCTTTGCCTCCCATCAGCCATCAGGACCCTCCACGCCTTGTCTATTTCCCTCCGCTCTGAGCCTACTCTGTGCTGCGCCCTGCTGAGCCCTTGGCTTAAACTTGTTTTCTAAAAGTAGCGTTACTTTGCAGATAGGTAAAGACTCATTCTGCCAGTGGGGATTCCCCGGGTCCCCTGCGTCCCTGTGCATCTGGGCCACCATGTGCTGTTCTCCGCCGCACCATCCTGGTGTCACCCCTCCCTCGCCATCCCATCCCTCCCTCCTGTGTCCCCTGAAGGCCCAGGGGAAGCCAGCCAGGTTGTGCTCCCGGAGCCAGATGAGTAGGAGAGAGGTCTCGTCCCAGCAGCCGGTAGGTAAGTATGAGTCACACGGGCACAAACAAGCCTGGAAAACCGCATCCAGCCAGCCGTGGCCAGCGGTGTCCCTGGCTGGGGCCTGCAGACACCTCTGTTAGGAAAGAGTCCCCGCTTGTTGCACCAACACAGCAGCTGCTGGGAAGTAGGTGGTGAGGATGAGAGGCGAGGGGGTGGCTGCAGGCATGGAAGGGGGGGGTGGCTGCTGCCTGCACAAGCCATCTGGTCCCGTGACCCCCTGCAGGCGGGCCTGGGCCCCCTGGTCCTCTGGCCATGGAGAGAACCACAGCGCCAGCCCCTCCGGAATCTTCTCATCCAGCCCCTGGACCCCAGGGCTGAAAGTCAGTTCTGTTAACCAGAAGAACACACTAAGATTCTGCTCTGCCTTGCTGGGTGTGTCGGCGCACGGCTGTAATCCCAGCACCGGGAGACTGAGGCTGGAGGATCGCTGGGAGTTCGAGGCCAGCCTGAACTGCATAGTGAAACCCTGTCTAGAAAAGACATACAGAGAGAGAGAGAGAGAGAGAGAGAGAGAGAGAGAGAGAGAGAGAGAGAGAGAGAGAGAAAGAGAGACAGAGAGACAGAGACAGAGAGAGACAGAGAGACAGAGACAGAGAGAGACAGAGAGACAAAGACAGATTCTTCTCTGCTTTGTTTTGGGTGTGACTTTTCAATTTAAATCTCAGAGTACAATCCTGTTTAATTTCTGGCCTTTAGGAAATAGTCCGTACACCGAGCTGTTCCTTTAGGATCTGCTTCCTAAGTGAGTCATCATGTCCAAAGCGATGAAATAAGGGCCAGCCCTTCACTTTGAAGCACTTCTTCATGATTCCCATCTTTTCATTCATGCCCTTATTGATTTAAGCATCCATTGAGCAAATGTTTATTTAGTCTTATTGTGTGCGGGGCTGAACTTTCTAGGTATCTTATCGTCTTCTTACAATAATTCTTCCAGACCACAAGCTCCACGCAAGCCGGGACCTGGACTCTGGCTTACTGCTCTGTCCTTAGTGCCTAAACTTGTGCAGGGCCTAGAGATACTTGTTGAAAACAATGAATGACAGCACTGCTCTGTCCCCTGGGGGTTAAACTGAGTCTTAGGTAGGGTGAGACTTGCTTAGGTCCTCAGAGCTGCTAACAGGTGGCTTGGAAATTAACCTTATCCACCCCTATGGCAACAGATGGTCAAACCGATGATGAGGCATTGGGGGTTCCAAAGGAAAGATTATGATCTTACTGGGGAGTTGGAGGAGGGCTGAAGGGAAGGGGGTGGCATTGGTTCCCAGGTCTTGAGGGATAAACTTCATACTTGAGCTCAGAGATTCATTGTTGGAAAACTAAGGTTGGATTAAACCCTCATTTTTGGGGGGAAAAGCATAGACCCCTTCTTAGATGTGAATTTCTGCTTGAGAACCCTCAATACCTCGCTGTAGATGGAATTCTCTCTCTAGGTTCCAGTTCTCAAAAACTTTTGTTTCTTTTTCTTCTTCTTCTTCTCCCTCTTCTTCCTCCTCCTCCTCCTCTTCTTCTTTTTTGATATGAAATCTTGCTATACAGTTTGGGCTGGTCTTGGATTCACTATGTAGCCCAGGCTGGCCTTGAGCTTGTGGTGATCCTCCTGCCTCAGCCTCCTGTGTGCTGGGATCACAGAGGTGCACCACCACACCTGGCTTCATAACTTCTTTCTGCAAAAACATTCCTAAATTGCTCTTCCCGGCTTTCTAAATCTAAGGCCCTTTTAAAAGTCCCTCTTTGGGTTCCTCAGCTGAGCTCAGGCCTGTGAAATTCCCATCTGTACCCAGGGTGCTGAACAGCTCTGACCGCATAGTTTCCCTCCCACTGCACCCGCCCGGCCTTCGGCACTGGAAAGGAGATTGAACGCGCTTTGCTTTTGATCAGACTCATCTCCTGCCAGGAGCAAGGAAGGATGTGTAGGAGGGCGGCTCCATCACAACAATAACAAGCGTAATGAGTAAAAGTGCTCGCAGGATCTTGGGCAACCGAGCTGCTTCTCTGTGTTTTTTCTCCAGCTAACAATGGTCCCCAAATGCCTTGCTCCCCCAGCCCCCTCCACCATGCACCGAGTGCTCGCTGCTTCGGTACCACGGGTACTAAAACTGGAACAAGGCAGAGGAGATCAGCACGGCCCCGCACAAGGGTGACACGCAAATTCATGAAGCATGCCAGACTTTTTTTGGACAAATGGAAATTGACAGAACAGAAATTAACTGAAAGTGTGGTGTTAGACAGAAGCAGACACTCAGCTGGACAGGGTGGCGTGGCCCTGTAACCCCAGCCACTCTGAGTTTGAAGTGACCTTGATGACTTAGCAAGACCTCATCTCAAAATAAAAGTCAAAGGAGCGCCAGGGAAGGAGGCTGCTCGTGGCGGTGCACACCTGTAACCCCAGCCTTTGGGGGCCGGGGAAGGAGGCTGGATTTGGGGCTGGCTGAACTGCACAGCAGGACGGTCTCCACATAAATAAAACACAGCAGCCTCAGAGGTACAGTTATCCAACCACAGTCCTGGGGAAAAAAAGAAATAAATGGAAAATCAGGGAAAAACCAAAACCAAAACCAAAACCAAACGTGCCGGATGGCCCTGCTGCAGCCATGGAGGAGTGGGTTGCAGACATCCGTCTTTTGTCCTGTTTTCGGTCATGTGGTGTCATCAGCCTTCCGGCAGGGGACAGCCACACTGTCATGGCACCTGGCCCTGGGTTTTGTGGCCGAGGACACCACGGGACCTTCTAGGGCCGGCGATGCTGCTGCTTGGGTGAGGAGTGAGAAAACCTTTTCTCTCCCCTCCCCCCCTCCACGCAGTGTGACTGTCACCAGAGGGGATGACCCAGATGTGACAGCAGCCAAACACCGACTTCCTGCGGGTCCTGGTAGACTCGGAAATGAGACTTCCTCCCCGGGCTGCCCCAACACAGCCTCTTCTGCTCTAGCCCCGGCCCCAGCCCTGCGGTGGCCCGGCCTCAGCTCTGTGGCCGCAGGAAGTTGCACGACCTTCTCGGCCTGTTTGCATCCTGGTGGCCGGAGGGTGAGAAGGAAGTGGCAGATGTCAGGCTGCAGTGGGCTCCGGGCTGCGTGGGCCTCAGAGGACAGGTTCCCGACGGGCCTGCGGACGGCTCTTGGCACCAGGACTCAGGGGTTTATTTTTCCTTGTCATGTTGCTAGAAAGTCACATCAGGAGTGAGCTGTTCTCCCAGGTCTGCTCCAGCTGTGTGTGATGCCTGTGACACCCGGGACAGGCCAGCTGGGCCTCCCAGACACGGAGAGCTCGGGGTGGGGACACCAGCTGCCAGCTGTCCCACACCATGGGCTCCTCATATTCCTTTCCTGGGTCCTCTGCTGTGACCACGACTGGAGCCAGGAGGAGGTGAGGTTGCACGCCTGCCTGGACAGCTCCAAATCAGCTGGCGTCCCCCTGCCTGTCCTCCCCACCCCTCCCCTCACCAGCTGTTGAGGTTGGAGTCAGAAAAAGGGGCTCTGTGTTATAGGCAGGTTGGCGTTTCCCAAGGTAACATTTTTCCCTGACTGAGTTCCAGATCCCGGCTGCCCACGGCCCGAGAGCACAGGGATTCTGCAGAGGAAGTGGGGGCTAAGACAGAGCTCCTGCTGTGGGGATGCAGGGACCTCATAGGGGTGGGGCAGAGGTTGCTTGGGGATGCCAGCCCCACCTTCCAGGTTCCAGGCAAAGGCAGCTGTGTGAGGCTTCCTCGGGTTTAAAGTGGTGGAGCTGGACCCAGGTGTGGTGGCATTGCCTTTACCCCTGCACCCAGGAGGCAGAGGCAGGAGGACACCATTGAGTGTGAGGTGAGCCTGGGCTGCAGAGTGAGGCCTTGTCTCAACAAAAAAACAAACAAGACTATAGCCAGAAAGAAAGTGTCCAGATGAAACTGAAATGAGTTTGGGTGTTTTCTTTCTTACTTTTGAGAATAAACTTTTATTCTTTGCTTCATGTTGTGCCTGGCCTGCACTTCACAAGTTGCACATACATACCTGTGATATAATAAAAAAAAAAACTACTTTTAAAAAATGTAGTTTAATTTAACTTTTTGAGATAAGGTCTTGCTGTGTAGCTCAGGCCGGACCTTGAACTTGTAGGGACCCTCCTGCCTCAGCCTCCCCATTGCTTGGATCACAGGTGTGTGCCACTGTACCCCACACAAAACACCTTTAAAGAGGCAGTTTTGTTATTTGTGTTAACTGTTATGTATTTTACATGTGGCTAAGTCAATTCTTCTTCACTCAGTTCCGAGGAGCCAGGGTGTTTGCTGGGGCCTGCAGGTTGGACAGCCTGGCAGAGTCTAGCACACAGTAGGCACTCAGTGCACACGGGCATTGTTCACATGGTGGACACTGCGTGGTGTCAGTGTCCTGAAGGCTCCAAGGAAGGAGTACGGTGGCGATTGCCCGCTTGGTGGGCTTGAGTGCGAGAGGAAGGCAGCTCGGGGGACACGGAGGGCTGGCACTGAGTTCTGAGTCCCCTGCCTGATGTCCCGGGAGCAGAAGTGGTGGGAAGGAGGCGCGCAGGGTGGCCAGGTGTGAACTAACCGAGCGGCGGGTGCCGGGAGCCGAGGGCCAAGTGCCTGGTGATGGCTGAGCCTGCACTGGCAGAGAGAGCGACCTGGTGGGCAGGAGAAGGGCGTGGAGAAGGTGAGGGGGCTCTGCGGTCCAGAGAGGGGGCACCTGCCTCAGCTAGGACACAGGACCTGCATCTCCAGGGTCCTCTGTCTGCTCGGAGGTGTCACTCTTCTTCCAGAGCGCTGAGGGTGCAAGGGAGAGCCTTCCCCTTCCTCCTCCTCTCTTCCTGTTCAGAGACATCTTTGAGCTCTCTGTGCAGCCCAGGCTGGCCTTGAGCTCACAGCCACCCTCCTGTCTCAGCCTCCTGAGCCCTGGGGTATATATGTGTGCTACCATGCCCAGCCTTGGGCTTCCTTTCTTTCTTTCTTTCTTTCTTTCTTTCTTTCTTTCTTTCTTTCTTTCTTTCTCTTTCTTTCTTTCTTTCTTTCTTCCTTCCTTCCTTCCTTCCTTTCTTTTTTTCTTTCTTTCTTTCTTTCTTTCTTCTTTCTTTCTTTCTTTCTTTCTTTCTTTCTTTCTTTCTTTTTCTCCTTCCTTCCTTCCTTCTCTTTTCTTTTTCTTTCTCCTTTCTGCTTTTCTTCTTCCTCTTCCTCTTCTTCTTTTGTAATAATGAGAATTTTAAAAAGGGCCTTCACAGGGGCTGGGGATTTAGCTCAGCGGCATAAGCACCTGCCTTGCAACCAGTCGGTTGTGAGTTCGATCCCTAGTACCGATAAAAAGTTAAAAAGTTAAAAAAAAAAAAAAAAAAGAGCAAAAAGGGCCTTCCACTAAGATCCATCCCAGCTCTTTTTAGATTTTGAGACAGGGTCTTCCTAAACTTCCCAGACTGGACTTAAACTTGGAATCCACCTGCCTCAGTTTCCTAGAGTGTTGTGATTACAGGGGTATACTGCTGTTCTGGAAGTTTTGTACTTTGTATTTTGAAATGATGATAGACTCAGAAGAAATTTCACAAATACAGAATTAGAGCCCTATTTTCTGGGACTAAATACCTGGCAGCCATGACGTATGGGAGGAAAAGGTTTGGGTGGCTTTAGTTTTTTTCTTGTTTTGTTTTTGAGGCAGGGTCTTACTATGTAGTTTCCGCTGTCCTTGAACTCACTCTGTAGCCCAGACTGGCCTCATGCCGACAGCAGTGCTCCTGCCTCAGCCTCCTGGGTGCTGGGGTCACAGCGTGCTCCCCACGCCCTGCTCACTGGACCTTCTTTAGCAGAACAATGCGGCTGCATTCTGTGATCACAAGCAGAGCTCCTTCGTGTTGCAGACAGAGGTGACACCTGGCTTCCCCGCTTTCCTGCAGCCTCCTGGGGAGAAGTGGTCCCCCTGGCCACAGAGTCTGGTGCGGCCCTGCAGAAGCTGCCTGGCTGGGGCAGAGGCCAAATGTGTGTTCGTTAAGAGAAGGAATGAGTTGGCTGCCCTTGACCATTTATTAGTTTTGTGAGTTAAAAAGATTTTGTTTTTCCTTTTTGGCACCAGGGATTGAACGTAGGGCTGCTGCACTGAGCCACATCTCCTAAGTTGCTAAGTTTTGCAGGCTGGACTAGAACTTGAGACCCTCCTGCCTCAGCCTCTACTGGATGACAGGTGTGCAGTGCCCCATCTGGCTAAAGAGGACTCTGCAGTGGCTTCACCTGGGATGAGGAAGGGGGCTGGCTCGGCCCTGCACTGTGCTTACACAGGCTTCCCTCTCCTCGGTGTGCCTCAGCAGGCGTTTGGCCCACGTCTGTGTCCGGTTTTATGATCCTGTTTCTCTCCTCATGCGCCTCAAAGTGGCAGTAAAGGAAGCTGCCCTGTGTCCCAGTGGCAGCTGTGTCCTAGAAACTCCCATCACAGCTGCAGGTGGGGACCCTCCTGGCCGTGACACTTAGTTAACAAAATACTAATTAGAGGGGGTGGCGTGGGCAGAGAGTGCGCCTGGCACACGTGCGGTCACAGCCAGTGCCACTGTCCCCGCCCGGGCCCTGCTGTGGGCCAAGAGGTCCCGGCCTCCCCTCCCAGCCCAGGGTGATGACAGCTGGTGCACAGGTGGTGGCAGGTCTGGGTGGGAGTGTTTTCACAGGTGCTCCCCTGGGCCTGGGGTTATAGTGTGGCTTCGTGCATCGCCTTGCTCGGAAAAGCCAGGTTTCTTCTGTGACCCATCAGTGACACAGCTTCATGCTGAGAAGCAGACGTGCGACCGACGCATTTGGGCCCAAGGACGCAGATCCCCACCCGGGCTTCCCTGGACGGACGGAAGTTGCTTTCTGCTCTGGACAGAGCAGTCTGTCCTGAAAGCTGCTGATGAGCTCCAGATATTTAGGGGTTTAGAGAGCAGACTTTTTTGCTTTCCAAAGGTCCTTTCAGAAGAGCACCCCAAGGCCAGGCATGGTGACTCACATCTGTAATCCCAGCACTTGGGAGGCTGAGGCAGGAGGATTGCTGGAGTTTGAGGCCAGCCTGGGCTACAAAGTGAGTTCAAGCCCAGCCTGAACTGCAGAGTGAGACCCTGTCTCAAAAAGAAAGAAACAAACAGAAGAGCACCCCAAATCCCAGGCGTTCTTTGCCTTTTGATCACAGGGAGGGAGAGGGTGCCACAATGGCAGGGTCTGCCTGGGTGGCACTGTT